TGTGGATTTTTTTTGTTTGTTTTTAGCTGTCATTTCCACTTTCAGTTGGGTAAAAGATTCTGCTATGTTGAATAAGACCAAGTATTAAAATGAAATAATATGCATTGTATTATGTGACTTTTTATAATCTTGCACAAAAAACATAATTAATTTACCTTCAAGTTTGGGGGCATACAGAACAGCTTATCATGAAGGCACTGCTCTATGGGTAACCTTGGCACCCTTGGTAGGATTCTTCCATAGGCAGGAGAAGGTCTATAGGGCTGCAGGTGGCTGTTGTGACCCTCACTGCATGCCAGTCTGTCTAGCTAAGGTGAGCCCATTAGCATGTCTGTAATGTTCCATGCTGGAGGAGGACAAATCCCTTCCAGTGTCTTAAATCTACATTAAACTTTGTAGCGTGGCGGTAAAAGTGGGGAAGCACCATCAGTCGGTAATGGTGACATAAAGGATGTGCTCGGTTCCAGTGTGAGCGATGGTTACGTTCCCTTTCCATTCACACCCCCGTGTGATGGCTGATTCTGCTGAGGTAGCTAGTACAAAATTATTTACTTTTGTTTCTTGTTTCTTTGTTATTTTTTCTGCTGTTTTAATGAGCTGAAATGGGATTACTAAAGGACAAGGCTCTCCCCTGCAAGAATTCTCCCCCGCAAGAATCTGCTAGCAAAATCTCAGTTCTGGTCTGTGGGGGCACAAGGAACTCGGATCAGATGATGGCCCTTGTGATCCTTAAGTGACCATAAAAAACCAACATCCTGAATTCCCTAGGCTAATTTGCAAATGGACACATTTGAACTGCACGTTAGCAAGCTAATGCTCATTTAACATCTTTTCCTTTCATTCATGGTGACCTCTCCTCCAAAGGAGGAGAAATACTGCAGGTAGAAAAGGGAATTGGTCCCTCTATGGTTTTTTTTTGGTTTTTTGTTTTTTTTTTTTTTCTTTTTTTCCTGTGTCTGGTCTCAAGCCTGAACCCAAACCTAACATTAGGTGCATATAGATCAGGGTGAACCACCTTTGCGTCTCCCTGGTGTTGCTGCTTTGTAAGATGTGCCAGGGTGTTCTTATCAGGGAGCAAAGCTGGGTTTACGCTGGCAGAGAAGTAAGGGTCTGGCCCAGCTCCAAAGTTCACAACTTTTTTGTATGTACATGTTACAGTTTTAGGGAATCGTCCCAGAAATAACACTCGCCTGGGAAATACTTTCCCATCCCACTCTAACCTTCCACTCACTTTTCCTATGGTTGAATTTGCAACGTCAAGTCTTTTTATCAAAAAATAAATGGCCAACTGACAGTAAGTGGGAAATTACCCTTGAATTCTTATATTTTATGACAGAACTTCTATTGCGTGCACAAGAGCCCACGAGGGCAGTGCCTGAGCCAATTCAAGGGGTGTCTGTGAGTTGTTACGGGGTTAGGAGGCAGACCGTGTAGAAATACAGCAACTGATTTCTTATGTGTGATGATCCCCAGCAACATAAATTTCTGAATACACTGGAATATTTTAAGAAATTTGTGTTTTTTCTGTATTTTATAGACAAAACATGTAGTAACCTTTTCATACAGAAACCAAGAAAATATATTTAAGGGTTGTTATTTGTCTGTGTGGCCACTTCAGCCTTCAAGGGACTACATTCTTGTGATGGAAAAAAAATGTATCAGATGGTGTGATTCCTTGAGTATCGATCCCTGGGTGTAGTTAAATGGTTCAATTTTGTCTGGTTCTTATGGGTTTGGATAAGAGGCAGAGAGGACACAAAAATCAAGTTTATGATGGAAATTTCATGAAAAAGAGTCTGACTGCTCCCTCTCTCCCAAGAGGGCTGCAAGAACATCAGTGTGAGGTCTGGGATTTTTTTTTTTTTTTTACTTTAAGAAAATATTTACTGGTTCTTTTCTACATTCCTTACACAGTCTAAACAACATTGAAGCCAAGGAGAGCTGGGTTTGGATTATGAACTTTTCCAGCTTTTTTAGAGCTGAGCAGTGAAAATGCTGATAAAACCAGCTTTTTTTCTTTTTTTTAAGCTGTTCGCTTAGGATACATCTAAACTGAGGTCGTTTTCTCATCATCTTTAAAATTGCTCATGCTAAAATTGTTCAACACCCAAGGATACCTGTATCTGTTGGGGTCGTGGTACCCTCTTTCTCTTTCCCTTTGAGCTAGGTAAAAGATACTACTGCCCTCAGCCCCAGGTGTTTGCTGCTTGTCACTAGCTCCCCAGCCAGATACCATCCCCTTGCTAATCTGCCAGCCCAGCCAGGTTAGCAACAGCATGCTGCTCCTCAAAGGTCTGCCTGTTTGCTTTGGTTGAAGATGCTCTGGGGTTCTTGCCCTGGCACTGGGCAGAGAAGGGGACGCTTGTAACAGAGGCCAGTGACAAGAAGCCGGTTAGCAGCCATAACCTTTTCCCCTGGCACAGCTGTTTGTGGAGCTCCCATCTGCTGAGGCTTGTCAGAAAAGCTGGCTGGATCAATGTAAATCACTTAAACCTGGACCCGTGGTCTTGTTACTAGCAAGGTGCCACTCCTTTAAATTCCATGATTAATAGCTAGCGTCTGTGGGGATATTCTGCCCATCAGTGGCTACAGCAAATTGATTTCAGGAGAAATCAGGAAATTGAAAGGAGAGTTGGGGAAATGTTGTGTTTCTGCTAACACAGCCACAGGCTTAAGTGATTTGCAATTGCTCAAACAACCATTTTTTAGCATCTTTAATGCCTGCTGGCGTTGGAACGTTCCCATCTCATGCCGATTGCTCTGACTAGCGTTCGGCAAATGGATGTTCTGAATCCTTTGTGTCTCCTGCAGTGGGTGGAACGGGGTCGTGCACGTGTGGGACCGTGCAAGAGGATGAGGCAGCTCTTGGGGATGAAGGCTGGGAGGTGGGTTACAAGGGAAGGGACTGCACAGAGCCCTCAGCCTGGTTGGGTGGAGTAGGCTGCCTTGGGAAATGCTGACCTGCACTAGGAAAGAAGGGGCCACATGGGGCTGTTGAGGCAATTGCTCTGGTTACTGCTTCATTGGGTTGTTACTTTTCCAACCTGGGGGAGAGATACGCCACAATGTCCCAGGCACGTTTTGATTTTGCCTAGCTTTAAATGCTGCTGGGATATAACCCCCCGTTACACATGGTTTCTGTTATAGCTATAGATTGACCCTGTGTTTTCAGCATTCACCTTGAATTTCAGAGCTTGGCTGGTAAAGTGATGTCAGCAAACCCACCAGTGAAGATTTATACCAGACCTCTGTTTTCCTTTGATAATGGATTAAAAAAGATCCCCGAATGGAAAAAACTGTATTGACAAAATGACTTTTTTGTCCCCTTTTATAATTACATTTTTATTACTTTTTTTTCCCGATAGCATAACTGTGAAGAAAGAATTACGCCCTATATGGCATAACAGTATCAGCAGAAATCCTGCAGTAAAAAGAAAATAAATCCATATGCTTTATTTTAGAGGTCAAGAACAGTCTAAAGTTACTTTTCTTTTAAGTTGCTGGATGCTGCCTAAAGGTTCGGCTGCTTTTTGTCTGCGGCAGACCCAGAGCACCCGCTAAGACACACCAAGCTAGAACTCATGGCTCACATTACATGTATTAGCTCAGCCATGGTAGCCTGGTTGTAAGTCTAAAGATTCAGGCTGAGGGTTGAGGACAGCTTAGGTGAAGGTGGCTGATGAAGGTAGTACTGCTACCTGTACAGCTCATCTGTTCATCAGTCAAATCCTGGGCTGCCTCAGCTCGCAGACACAGTTTTAAGGCAAAACAGCACTGGTGATACTTGTCTTAAAACACAGTGTTGTGAGCTATGGCAGTTCAGGTGCAGCCTGACGAAGAGCTCAGGTACCCAGGGATGAAGGAGAGAGGAGGTGGACAGGAGGAAGCACGCAAGCTAAATGCTCCTGCCCATCCATCAAAGCCATGAGCCTGGCATTGTTCAGGACATGGATTTGCCAGCTCTATCGCTTCAAGGACGCTCTTGTTGTCACAACTGCTATGGCTACACTGGCAAGTCATTCAATGTATACACAAGATTGACGATATTTGAGCATGGTGCTTGTAAGTAAATGAGTACAGCTTAATGTAAAGTCACTTCTCGTGTTTCATTGGGTCTGACCCTCCTAACCTGCCACGTATTGCATTTCAGAATGGCTGAGGGCTTAATGTCCCACTAAAATACAGCGGGTGGGCATGTTGACTGGAAGGGTATCTTGGGCTATAGCTAGTAAAACTACCTATAGGTATAGCTGTTTGCAATATGGAAGTCTGATGTGTGTCTTCTAAAGTGGTCCATGTTTCTTTAGCTAGGTAAACTGATAACTCTGGTTTCTGCCCATCCAAAGCTTACATGTTTGATCCAAACTTTTTTTCTTTAAAGTCTGACAAAACTCGCTGGTGTTAAGCAATGTTAATTGAGCTAAGTTACTGTTTTCTTTTATTGTGCCAGCAGCAAATAACCTTCAATAGATCATCTCCTGTTACCATTTATTCCAGAGATGACTTTCATGGATAGTGGTGGTGTTTGTTAAGATTGAGATCACTTTGCTAACAAAGAATTTTCCAAGGCTGAGATGAGGGATAAATCTGCTTATTTTGTTTAGTCTGAAATGACTTTCTGCAATATAATGGAAATAAAGGGATGTCTGATTTCTTTATTCTTTATGAGTCATCAGGCCTTGTTATAATGTATGGAAAAGTGGAGTTTCCTTAAATGCCACTGTTTTGTCAGGACTAACAGTAGCAGGAATATAACTATTTAGTACTGCATTTTACTGCCCGGGAAAAATAAAGTATACCTTATTTAGGATTTGTCCAAACCCAATAAAGTATACCTTATAGGATTTGTCCAATACCACTCAAGGAGTTAACTAGAAAGCTAAACTTGGAACGAGGTTTCTTGTATGGTCATCCTATTTGATCTAAACTAGGCCATGCTGCTTTGGTGCTTGTGATTTGGACCTGCCAGCTTCCAATACATTCCCTCTTTCTTATTTTAGCAATTCATCAAAATGAAGAAAACAGCAGTCAAGAAATAAGAGGACTAGAAGAGCTCAAGGATACCTCTGATGCTCAGGTAAATGTGTAAGATTAATGGCATCTTGGGGACTTTTTCAGATCTATGAGTTGAAGGATCTGCTTTCAATAGCTCTGGGAAATGGGTTTTCTCGATGTTCTGTGCAGAGAGCTCGTAGGAAGGAGAAAGTCTGCTGGATCTTGTCTTATGTGACTATTTAGAATAAGATTGATGATTACTCTGGGAATTAATCCCATGATGTTGCAATTGGACATCATTCTTCAACTATCTCTCTGCTCTTTTTAGATAATACACACAGCATATACCAGATGTGAAAATAAAATGAGATGTGTTTTAGGAGGCAAGGGCATGTGACGTTTTGATTGAATTTTAATCATTGTAAGTAGACATGCAGTGAAATGAGGATACTTAGTAGTCACTCAAGTGTAAGCAACAACCTTTTTCTTTCCTTCCCTAACTGCCCTCATTTACAACCAAAGCACACTTTTAGACATTTCTCAGAAGAAACTTAACTGCCTTTTAGAATATTTTATTGGGGAATTGCTTACCCTTTTTAATTCTGTGAATCTTTCTTTATTAATCTCCAGTTCATTCAATCATTCAGTTCATGCATTCAAACTGTGCAAGCGTAACTATATCGCTCATTGTATTGGTACTGATTATTGCTTTTAATTTAAAATTGATTTCTCCCAGTCTTGACTGTTTTTTTATCTGCTATTCCTCTTGAAAACCGTATGTTTCCCACCAGTTGCCACCTTTTCTCTTTCCTACATATGCAACTTGAAGTTCCTGTCTCTGATTTATCTCCTAACACCTTGCCGGCTCAAAAGCTTCATGCAAGAAAGACAGGATTTGCACTTATGTCTGTGAGCAAGCCTAGCTGAAGGGGTACTAGCCGTGTAGCCAAGTTAGCAGCACCTATGTCTTTCTAAAAGTAGGGGCTGCCTCGATGACAGTGAGCCCAGGAGGGGCTGCAGGCAGGCCTGGGCCATGGCAGACACCTGGAGAGTGCAGGCAGAAGGGTTAGGGACCATGAAGATATGCCTACTGCGTCAGTGTGTAACTGGGCTTTTCCAGCATACTCTTCAGAGTCGTGCTCAAGCAAGATGTTCAGAAATGGCCTTTTCTTAATTGCACACAATTTCAAATATATTAAAAAAAAAAAAAAGTGTAGTAGGAGCCCTAATGTGTAAAAATTTTGTTACCTGACTTTGATTCCTAATTCATGTCAGTGTGGGGTTGATTGCAGAGCTATAGAAAACACCCAGGGGAAATAATGACCTCACTGAATAAAAAATCTGGCTTTCTGTTTTCTTTTTTGGGTTTCATATGGTCAGTTCTATTTGATTGTTGTAGTTGTTCCTATTTTTTGAAAATGTTTATTCACATTTATGTCAGAGATGTAAAAAGAAAGACTACGACGTGTTCTCAGAGCTCCTAAGTAGCTAGCTAATAAGATTGCATGGGCAGATTATAAAAACCTGTAAGAATTTATTATTGGGATATTGATCTGCTCAGCTTATATTAGGCTGGAAACCAACTTCTAAAATTTGAAATAATTTGAAACACATTTAAAATTAAACAATTATTAAGTGAGCAGTTAGCAAGTGCTTAAGTGCCCAACTGGGAGGAGAGCAGGAGTGTTATCAAAGCACCTGTTGCTCCAATTTGTTTGTCAGTGCCATAAAAATGACATCCTGCAAACACCGAATATGGTTTGGTTTAAGGGTATGAATAATTTTTTTTCACTTTAGTGAGATTTTGCATGTGATTGGAGCAAAGCAAATGATCTTTCGAGGCAGTGGCATATGGTTTTAAGTTTTCAGGTTGATCAAAGGTGAAGCCTGTAATAATTATATTGTTTTCACCAGACACAGAAGGAGACAGAGGTGCGGTGGGAAAAAACCAAACCACCACAAACCTCTTCTGTTAGCGGAGTTGAAGGGTGTGGTGCCTGCTCTAAACACTGCTCTGCGGGATGTAGGCTTGACTTACATTGGAGTTAGTTGACAAAACTGGTAGAAATGTGGAAAAAATTAAGTACAGAGATTTTTAAAAGCAAGCATGCTGTAAACAATGTAAATAATGTAAAAAAAATCCCATCCTGTCTGCTTAGGGCTGTCTTACTTCACCTCCATGTCACTGCTAGCATATTCATTTATGGCCTTTGCAGAGGAAATATGTTCCAATGGATGTGCTGAAACAGAAAATGTGTTGTCAGCATCTTTGCTTTTCCAACCTCACTAGTGACTAATTTACTTTCCTTCCCATTAAACATTTTTATTTCATTTCAAATATTGCATAAACACCTTTAATTATAGTAATTTTGTGCTGTGAATGGTAGTAAAGCCTTACTATAAAGCTCCTACGTTCTTTTATCATTCATTAAATTAAAGCCAGTTAAAATATGCAACTTCACATAAGTTAGTACTTGTATGTTTGTTGGTGTACATGAATTAGAGGACTAAGCACCAACACTTGGTCATGCGGGATTTTGGAGGGTGTGTGCCCGCGCAAAATACAAATCAAAATTGCACTTTGCAAGTAGGACAGCTTGCCTTTACCTTTTCATCTAACAAACAGTTTCAAAGGTACTGCTTGAAAATTAAATTTATATTGACAAGTGAAAATGACCAGTAATAGGAGACTCGTATCAACATCTTCCCAACCAGCTTTTAGAAGCTGTCATCAATTAATTAATTAGTTGACCTGGATGCTTTCTTACAAGTATTTAGCAGAAAGATTTACAGTGGAAAGTCAGCATAATTGAGGAAATCAGAGTTAAAAGTGAGGGTTTCATTTTTTTTTTTTCTTAATTACGAAAAAGCATGTTTAGCCTTTTGTATTTCAAGTGCATTCTTTACTCCCAGAACCAAGCATATTTTTCAGGTTCTCTGCAATTCTTTAAATTAAAGAATAGTTGTGGGAGGAGGGGACATGTTAAAATGTAAGATTTCTTCTTGGTGGTTATTTGAAACAGGACAATATGATTCTTTAATGAAATTGCCAGTTTGAATACAGACCATACTCATGGCAGGGCTGATGGGCTCGTATCTGGAGTTCTTCCCTGGAGTGCTCATCCATGCAGAAAGCAATAATATGCTCTGTGCGAACACAGGTAGAGGGCAAGGGCTGAAAGAGAGCGAGGCCCATGTGTTCAAAAAGTTGTCTTTCTCCAGGATGTTTCTTCCACTTGAACATACTGAAGCCAACTGTTACCTTAAAACTGAAGTCCCCCTTCCTCATCTTAACCAGAAGTGGTTTTAACCATTGGGCTTTGCTTCATACACTGACGATCAATAAGCATTTGTTCAGCAGAGTGAACACTGCATTTCTGTCAATGTCCATCTGACATTTGACGTACAGGGACTCATAACCATCTATGCCACTCACAGGTCATGGTCTGACTTGTCTGGGTGCAACAGGAAGGTATGAAAAGTGCCTCCACAGTACTAAGATCCCAGATCCAGAGAGACTGTAAATCTTTATAGTCCTGAAGACCTGATAGGCCATAACACTTAGAGTTGTCCTTAGCCTGGGGGGATTATCGCACGCAGATGTTACACTCTCTGCTAGAAGCGTCGTGAAGCCATGAAATAAGCAGGTTTGTCTCTAGCTGATGTCCCCCAGCCATCAAAGTGTTGTGAAGTGCAGACATCAGACCTCAGCCAAGTCTGTGACAATTGCCTAGGTTCCCTGTGTAAATTACTGGAGAAAAAGGAGAATTTTAGGAAACAACACATCTGACCATTTTTAAATGTCTACTATAGAGTAAAAAAATTTTTCTTCTTAAGTACCTCTTTTTCTCTATTGATTAAACGAGTCTGGACAACTAATTCAATATATTCTTCCACATTTGATAAAGTCAGTCTCACTCCTGATCTGCAGGTGATAACGGTGTGTCAGAACTGGTTTATAAATCCATGTCCTTGATTTAGAATATAAGGAGCTAATCTCATAGAAATTGTAAGGACCTTCAGGTTAGGTGCTGCAATTCCTTATTTTTTTCAGTGGATTTCTGACCTTTGAACCACTGCGTAGGTTCCTTATATGGGAAAGCTGGGTTCTCAGGAGGCTGGGGACTAAGCATAGGACATGCAAAGCACAGGCTGCATCTGAATTTCTTTCCTTCTCCAGAGCACAAGTGCCTGATGCAGGCTTGTGAGGAGATGCTTTCATCCAGACTGGGGAATGTAGGCATGTAAAATTTCTTTCATATAATTCAGTAAGGATGACTCTTTGGAGTCATGGAAACTACTTTTTTCCATCAGCGTTAAAGCACTTACTCAGAAAGTGAATTTGTTTTCCTCCTCAGCTGAAGAAACCTTAACGCACATTTTCCTCTTCCTTGGAGAAACCAGTGGACTGAAGAATGGTTTGGGTGGGCACTCTCACACCTCCAGCTGTCATGGGCAGGAATTTCTCAAGGCCAAAGGACTGGAGCCTGCATGGCACTACGGGTTAGCGGTCAGGGCACCCCTGGCTTTTGGTCCTGACGCACAAGATGTATTGTGAATTTTGGAGTAGATACTGATTCAGTTAAACTCAGGATGAACAGCAGAAAGAAAAGGGTGGAGGAAGTGGGGAAAAAGGTTTATTTGCAAATCGCCTTCAAAGTCATATAGCAATACCATAGCCATGCCACATGCCTGGCCCTCCCAAGGCATATGCTGTTCCCATCAGGAAACATCTGGGCTAATAAAAGCCATGCGGTATCATGGAGCCAGGTCTCAGTTGCGCAGAGGCTATATCCGTGAAAAAATCATGGACAGTGATATTAGCCACTGACTTTGCAGGAAGCAATTTAGCCCTCATCAGCTAACTCTGTGATGGGTCTGGTATGCCTGTGTGCAAGCGTGAATCTGTCTTTATATATATATATATATGGCATTTTTATAAAACAACAAGTGCGAATGTTTTGATGAAACACTATTGGCATAGCTAGAATAACTGGCAGAATATTAGCCAAAAAAATAGTTCTAACATAGTTTTTAAAGCAAATCTCATTTTCTTCCCTAAACAAAATCAGGAGATATTGATTCGTTATTTACAGAATAAATAAATGTGGTGCAACTGCCTTTTAACTCTTGAGGCTGGCACACATGAAAAATGGTTGGAGTCGGAGCAGAGGGAGTTGTAGCCTGTTATTTTTAGGAGTGCCTTGTGTTGCGCTTCATTCTTTTTCCAGGGCTGTTCCTGGCTAACTTTCCCATGAGTTTTTAACCTCTTGCTCCTGTTCTCTTATGTAACAGGAAACAGGCTGACAGGAACAAATAAAACACAGCGTATCTGATAGTCACACTCAGAGGAGCGGTTGATTTAGTTAGCCCTGCTTTCATTCCTCCAAAGTAGATACATTTGGAGACTCAGATGTGCCTCAGCTCCTCTCCAGTTGCTTCCCACAAAGCAGCGACTTGTTTGTGTTCAGCGAGCGGCATTGAACTACCGCAAATATGAGAAAACTGATACATTTCTTTTAAGGTTGAAATTTGTGGCGGTGTCATGTCCTGGGATTGTGGATTTAAGTATCTGTTTGCTCTTTCTCCCACCCTTAAGGCAGGGGTTTTGTGCAAGCTTCAGGGAAGAGATGACATCGGACGGATTGAGCTGGTCCAGAAGCTGGCGAGAGAAAACTGCCAGTTTTTGCAGGCGGATAGAAAACCACCGGAGAAGGCAGAACAAGTAAGGCATTTCTTGTTTGGGGTTTTTGTTTCTTTCTAGTAGGGGAGGGAGATTTAGGTCACAAAACTGAAATAGCAAAGCTGATGGTCAGAATCCAGGGCACACATTAGTCGTGGAGCTGCTGTAGCTGGCTCTCCTCTGGCATTTACATTTCTCTGAAGTGCGTTCAGTTCAATAATTGTCAACACACTTAAATTATTATGTTGTCATTAACTGTCAGTTACTGTTATTAATATCTTATACACATAGGAAATAGCAGGTGATTTCAGGATGCTTTCTACCACATTGTTGTTAGTGATTATGAAATATTTGGGGTTTAGAGTGTGTTTAAATAATGTATAAGGTATATGAGTGCTTCAAGTGCTTACTTTAAATTGTCTTAAAATTACTTTGCTGCTGGTATATTTGGATGCAAGTATTGGCTGGAGCTTTTCAGTGTGAATTAAAAAGAATGGTCTGGATAGGGAATTCAGCAGTTTCTTTAAAAAAATGTGTTTTCAACCAAAAGTTACGCTGAAGAAAGCAGCATTCTGTTTAATGATTCTGAAAGCACTTATTCAAATGTTAATAACTGGATTGAAAATGCACTAAAACTTGACTGCTCTGCTTATAGCACAATGTATCCTAATTTTGTTCTCCTAGTAAAGATTTCTGTTCTGATTGCATATTCATCTAAAGGTGCCCAGGATAATAACTGCAAGAAACAACAAAAATCCCACCTAGTTTTCATGTGTCTTGCTATTATGTATATGTAATTTATTCCATTTTCTGCTCACTGGACAGTAGAAAAAAAGCATGCGCTTTAGAAAAAAAATACGTTTCAGCTCATCTGCAAGCTCATTCCTATTGAAGTAAGGCTGCACAAAGGAAAAGAGAAAGATGAAATCTTATTTCAGAGCTTCATGCTGTTCTGTTCGGCAGCGTATAAGGTCTAGTCTGGTGTAGTTAAATATGTAATTGTATCAGTAGGTGCGCAGGAGGGAGGAGGGTAATTAGCCAGGCTCAAATCCCTGAGATTGAATTGTTCCTCAGCTGATCCGCTAGCCATCGACATCTGGCAGAATTTCCATATATCTTTAAACTGTATCAGCAAAGTGCAATTAAAAGTTTAGGTGCTTAAGTAAAGATTTTAAGCCAGGGAAGGTTTCTAATTGTGTTTCAGGATTTGGAAGTAAGATTACAGATGCTGTGTGGGCATAGGGGAGAGGGGAATATCAGGACTGATACTCCAGAAATTCAGTGGATATTTTTGCTGCTTACTCTGGTCATTGTAGAGGGTGCTGTGGTGTCAGCTGCAGTTCTGTAGCTGCACAAATTACAGTACAGTTCCAAAAATGGAAAGGAAAGAAGTGCTCAGCTTTTCTTCTCGTTTGAAAAGTATGGTACTTAGCAATTGCTGCTATTTAGGAGATGAGTGACTTCAGTTTAGCAGGAGCTAGAGCAAGCGGCTCATATCCATACTGAGTGGCATAACGCAGCAGTTACTGCTCTTGGGCAGGGATGTGCCTTTAGACCTAGGAGGTGGCAGGAAAGAAGAAAAGCCGAGTGAGAGACAGCAGCAGCACAGGTTGTTCCTCATGTGCCCTTTAGTTCTGTGCGGGGAGTGTCTTACAGCTAGTGCTGGCGGTGCGCTGCTCCCCCCGATGTTCTGCAGGTTGCTGGTTGTTGTAGGGTGGGGGGTGACGTGGCTCTTCCCTACGGTCCAGGCGGACCATGCCCAGATGTGAGAGGGACTTGCAGTCCTCGGTGTGGGTGTATTTGCTAAGCCCCCAACCAGTCTGTTCATTCCATTAGGAATAGTCACCAAGAAGGCATTACCGAACGTGGGCAAGGTCTGTCGTAGGGTTCTCAGTTTAGCTGACTCAGGTAATTTACTTTCGCTGGAAAAATCCCACACTTTGCTGTGGTGGGGGCAGTGGGTCGCATGCGTTCAGGAAGCTGTGAGCTTCCATCCCTTCCTCTCCCTCCCTTCCTCCCTTGTGGTCTGAGAGCTGCTCTGGCGCTTGTCCAGGTGGCAGGATTTGGCTGGCTGGGCAGTTTGCTGCTCTGGGCAGCTGTTGCCTCTCTTCTCCAAGGAGAAAAGCAGCAGGCTGGATTGTACTGAGTATCGCTCAGATGCGGGCTTTCAGATCTTCCCGTCTCATCCTGCTGCTACAGAAGTGATGGCAGATTCACTGGCATCAGCTTCCTGCCCCGTCCCCTTGTGCTCACTGTAAATGTTAGAGGAACAACATGTTCAGGGTGTGGTGTCCTTACAAAATGACGTGTGGCATGCCCATCTTTCTCTTTTTTTTTTTTTTAGATTTTTAAAAGCATAGCTTAATCTTACGTTACTTTCTTAGAAACGCAGGGTAATGAGCACTCGATGTAGGCACTAAAATGGAGCAGCTCTGCATGTTCTCTGCAGGACCCTCACTTCTCGGCAAGTATCCTTGCACTAAAGCTTTCACCAGCTTTCCCTCCCGGGGAGCTCAAACTGTGCTTTCACGGATGATCTGCCTTCCTCAGAGGGATGACGTTTGGTCTGTAAATGAGACGCCTGAACACCCTGCCAGGATCCTCTCCCTGCATTTGGAGAGCCGGCTAGCCGGGCTGGCCTCCTGGCAGCCCATCTTGAAGCAGAAACGCTGCTGTTTTGCAGGGCTGTGTGTTTCACTCGGCCCAGGGCGATGTCGCAGTTTGAGGCTGGGGTCCTTGTAACCTGCCTGGAAGTAAAGCTGCTCTTTCCAGTATGGTCAAGGGGGAATTTTTGCCTGAAGCAGAGTTCTGGTTTGTTCTCCTCTAGGAATATTGAAAAATAACCCCAATTTGAACGCAGGGTTAGAATTGTGCATATGCACAATTCCTCTCTACAAGTACTGCGTCCCACGCACATAATGGGAAATGGAGTTGGGGCTCCTCTGGTGCCATCCACTTTGTTTCTAAAGCAGGTCTCTTCAGATTAGCACAACCTCACACAGTTTTCCAGCATTAACAGCAAACACATATGTAGTATGATTGGGCTTTGCTGATTCTTGTACTTTCCTTTGAAGACGGAAGAGCTGTCAGCCTAATTGAAGAATTTTGTACCCAATGACCCCAATAGCTTTTTTCCTGTACAGTCAATGAGGTGTGGAGCTGCCTGGAGAAATGACCCTCTTTGTGTTCCTAGCATTCTGAGTGTGATGGGGAACTGGGCTGTGAGGAGAACTGGTGAACCCTCCTATCATTCAAATAGCCAACGACCATCTTTATCTGAGCTTGAGGACAGAACTTCCTGACTCACGCAGGAAAGGTAGATGACGTGGATGCACAACAGTCTGGTCTTCCAGAGGTTTTGGGGCAGATGAAATACCTAATTGTATTCTTCAAGGTGTGGTGTTGGAGACTGTGGTCCATGGCCCACAGTAGGCAGGTGAAGCTTGGATTGGTTTGGGTCACTGGTTCAGAAAGAGATGAAATTTAATTATTTTTTCTCAGAAAAAGCAGATGGTCTGGAAGAGGGAAAATACGGGACAGCTGGGTGGTTCACTGGAGGAAACAGCCCAGTTTGGAGCTATGGTGGCAGAGGGAAGGGATTCCTTCAGTTTAGATGTGTTCTGGAGAGTGTAAATTGGGGGATGTATGTGATGATTTTGTACATGCATACATTTTTACTTTATACTTTTAAGCACCCAAGTCAGAAAGTCCATACTGCTTTTGTTTCAGGTTTCTGGTATGCTATCATTTCAGATTTATGGTCTGGATAAAAAAGTGTTGTGAAAAAGTCCTATAATTTAAAAAGTTTTGTGCACAAGCTCTAGTATATGTGAGCTGCTTATTTGTTTCCAGCACTGCAAATGTGCTGTGCTGCGATCAGGTTAGGCTGGTCTATTGGAACTCCAGATTGTTCTTCTGTAGCACACAACGCCAGGTTCTTCTCTGGTGAATATAATGTTTGTAAAGTGCTCTAACTGCGTAGGTGCTCACAGACTTGTAGAGGAAAACAAAAAGTAAATTATAGTGATTTTTTTTCCCATTCCCACTTGCTAATGTGTTAGAATAAGGTTCTTAATTAAGGCACTGAACCTACCATATGTGTTAGGTTTCCTAAAACTTCAGTTTTGCTAATGAACAGAAAGTAAGTAGTAGTAAATAAGCTTATAAATAGGCAGACAAGCTTTTTCTCTGTGCTGTTGCATTCCTACAATGACATTCAATGTATTGATAAATAAATAAAATGAAATGGCTAAAATGTACAGAAATTATTTAAATATCAAATGTGGGCTAGAGTAAAAACAACTATGCAAGCTTGCAGTTCTAATTTTATCATTACATGCAAATCACACTTATAAGCCTAGGGAAATGTAAACCTGGATATTTGTATTTTTATGTTATTTAAATATTTCTTTCGATTAAAACAATTGCTTTGACAGAAAATAGACGAAAAATCTGTGTTTAAATATTCAGCTATAGAATGAGCCTGCTTTTTTGAGGTTTGCTTACTGTTAGTATTAATTATAATATAGAAAGCAAGCTCTGTATATAAAGCCATTTGAAGTAATTTGTCATAGCTTTTTCTTACTCAAGCATACATTTGAGATGCATTTGAGGCATAGTTGCACTAAACCATATTTTTTTGGCACTCCTTTTAAGCAACTACAGGCTCAATTAAATAATGCCTTTGTAATAGACGTGATACTGTTTGTACAGTATTTCCAGTTATTATTTCAATGAAGCATTGCACTGATTAAGAACACCACGTCTGCTTATGGTGTCATTGTCTTAGTGAAATCGTAAAAGTGCTTTTCGCCTCAGCAACAGGGGGAAAATATTCTTTAGATTACAGTACGGTTTTCTCAGTCAGGTCAACTGAATAAGCTTTCTACAAATTGACACTAATGTTCAAAGGAGATTTAAGATCCTCTAATGTGTTCAGTAGAGAACTAAAGAATATGAATTCCTTTATTCAACTATATAAATTATATTCTAGGCTGGGGCTCTTCCAGTACTTGTGCATCAATGGGGAGGGGAGTGTTTCCTAAATCCACCTTCTAATCCTTTTACAGATTAATGTATATATTAATTAGAGTTACATATTGTTTAAAAGTATGTAAGTACATACAGCTTGAATGTATTGATTCTGTGACTTAGCCAGTTCAAGATGAAAGAGTTATATCATAGGGGGGCAGGTATGTTTTCAGAAGGACAACAGGTACTAGATACTGAAGAACAGTTTTGTTAATTTACTGGGTACTAACTTTTGTAATCAGTGGTCTCATTAAGAAGACAGATGATTTGCTCATTGAAGCAGGTTAGTGGTTGGGCTGAAGCTGTTAAAAGGCTTACAAAAAAGATTAACGATTTAGAGCCTCAGGTTGTATAGATTACTCATGGCCAAGGAATTTCTTGAGGAAATTTCAGCCATGACACATCAAGGTTATTTTAGGGTGCACCTACCTGTCCAGCTGGACGCCTGCAAGGATACAAGAATGAATGTTAGGACGTGTCCAGAGCTGCAGTTTTTGTTAGTTTGGCAAAGCTGTGACCATGCGCTGATGTACTGTTGAATTGATCATCAGTAATCAAGGCTCTGATGGAAAAATATTCCTTAAAATGATGACATTGAATGATGTCTGACTGAAATCTGTGCTTACTTTTTAAAAAAAATCATCGCTGCTTTTGTTTTTCTGCTCTGCCTGGGACAGATCTATTGGGTAGCTTGAGTGCAGATTTACTGCTTTTGGAGGCTATTCTGCATCTCTTGCAGAACTGTGGATCAAGTGGACGTAGGTATTATAGCACAGTAAAAGTTTTTGCAGAAACTTTCGTGGCTTGAATAGCTATGAGGTAGTATAGATCTCTGAAGTCATTGAAACAGAATGGATTTAGCACGTCAGCACAGGAGTTTGCTACTTCCCTTCACACCTCTTTGATCCACCAGCGTTAGCACAGCGAGCTGTACTGGGGTAAGATGATAGTTTGTAATTTTGATTTAGTCTTCAACTACAAGCCAAGAAAAAAATGGATCTATCAAAAAGGTTGTCAGTTTATAGCTCTGTGTTGAGTAAGAGTAAGTAATTAAGAGGTAGGTACATGCTTGCTGTGGAGGTAACATGAAGTTCAAGTCTCTGGTCTGAATCAGGAGGAACAGAGACTTGAATCTAGTTCTGTCACATTCTGGAGAGAGTGTCCTATGCCAGACAGTTGATTTTTCTTCTGCTGGAATGAATGCATAGCCCGAGGTGATCACCTGTTCTTCATAAGCCAACCTCTTTATCTTCTGAGAAGAAAAGACTTCTGCAGGTCCTGGGATTTTTTTTTCAGTGCAGAACAGGCACAGGCATCTTTTTGAAATAGAAAAAGTTTGCCAGAAGTAAGGATCCTCCAGCTCAGGTGTAGGACTGGGATCATTTGGCTGCTAGGAAAAGCTTTGTTTCAGTCTCTTGCAACACTTCTGTTAAAATAATAAGAAAAGTATTCTTATTTACTATATACTTTCAAGAGGACTTACTGTTCCTTTTGTTGAGTCTATTTAAAATGGCCAGTTTTAGAGGAGAATGCCCTCTTGCAAGGAGTGCAAAATAGTGGTGAGATGATATGGTCCTTCTTCCTGTAAAAATAAAGCATGTGAGAGGAGTCATGCTTGTGCTTACATGATGTGCTGTGAGCAGAGTATAGGAACACGTCAAGTGTGTCGTGGTTTAACCCCAGCCAGCAACTAAGCACCACGCAGCCGCTCACTCACTCCGCCCCCATCCAGTGGGATGGGGGAGAAAATCAGGAAAAGAAGTAAAACTCCTGGGTTGAGATAAGAACGATTTAATAGAACAGAAAAGAAGAGACTAATAATGATAATGATAACACTAATAAAATGACAACAGTAGTAATAAAAGGATTGAAATGTACAAATGATGCGCAGGGCAATTGCTCACCACCCGCCGACCGACACCCAGCCAGTCCCCGAGCGGCGAAAAACCCTGCCCCCCCCTTCCCAGTTCCTAAACTAGATGGGACGTCCCATGGTATGGAATACACTGTTGGCCAGTTTGGGTCAGGTGCCCTGGCTGGGCATGAGAAGCTGAAAAAGCCTTGACTGTAGTCTAAACACTATTGAGCAACAACTGAAAACATCAGTGTTATCAACATTCTTCACATACTGAACTCAAAACATAGCACGGTACCAGCTACTAGGAAGACAGTTAACTACATCCCAGCTGAAACCAGGACAAAGTGGTAAGTTCACTCTTTTCCTTTGAGTCAAGTTACATATTCCCATAACACTTTCTTTCCTCCAGATGCTCGGCCTAATGTTTAAAAGAAAAGAAAGCCTAATTTGCTCCTCTTTGATTTATTCTGTAACATTAAACTACTTTGTATAGAAGGAAATTCCACATACACATTTTGCATGCTGGGCCTTCTTTGGTGTGGAACAGTGACTCATTCTTGTATGGGACAATACCTTAGCTACTAGGCTGAAAGGGGTAAAAAGGTCATGTGGTATTTGGCAGGCTAAAACCTGGGAGTCAGAACGCTGGATTTTTATTTCTGACTCCATCGGTTATTTAATATATAACCTTCTTCAAATCATGTCACTTCTCTGCACCTTTGTTTGCCCATATATAAAATGGGGTCCTAAACATGTAGGACCTTGAAGGGGTGCTATAAAACCTGCAGTGCTTAATGAATGTTGATGAATTGCTTTGAGATCCTTGAGAGGTGGTTTCGGGATCCCAGCAAGATGGAAGCAGGTTGGACTTTGAGCTGCTTAGGGCCAGGGGGATATTTTTTAAAAACCTGCGCATAGCTGAGGCAAGTCCAAGCAGCTGCAGTCACTTCGTAGTCTCTTGGTCCTTGGGCATCGCTTCTGTGGCTGTGCCATCGGCAGCATCGCTGCCCTGACTGCTTGTCCCCAGCCCTGGGCCGCCCCATGTTGTGCTGCTCTGCGAAGAGACACAGGGAATAATGCAGCTGCAAAATAAAGTAAATACACCTTCCTTCTGGGGTCATTTTCCAACTGGATCAATTTCCCTTGCGGTGTGGGGATATGGATATGAGAACGAGATGTGGTGTCAGGGATGACCGTTGCTGGCGAGAGCTACTCTGCTGCTCATGGTGAAACATGGCCTTCCTCCTTCATTCCTCAAAGCCTGGTGACTTACCAAGTCCAGAAAGTGAGCTGTGTCAAATTAAATGTCCTTGGCTTTTTTTGGTTGGCTAACTTTTTTTGGTTTGGTTTAATCTAGATCCTGTGGTTCACCATGCGGCTTCATGAAGGCTTACATGCACAAAGAAGGGGGTGAATGACAGGTGGGGGTCAGCATCCAGGAGCAGGGAGAGGACAGGAATGCTGTTTTTCACGGGCAGTGGGACTACACAGTTCCTGGTAGTACCAACATTGAAAACATGGTTCCATGGTTCTGCTCCATTTATCAGTGTGAAAAAGCAGAGAAACTCTCTGAAAGCGGTTATCTGCAGGTTGTCACTGTTCTCTGCTTCTGTGTTTCTCTCCAGATTCTGAACCACTTGCCCGCTTATGTTTCTAGACTGTCCAAAGGCTTACGTAAAATTATCATTTTCTCCTTTTAGAGAAGTAGAAGCACCTGCTTCAATGTTTTCTGGTTTAAAATTTACTGTTCTGTCCCTCTGTGTGTGATCAATACATTTGATGACGTTCTGAATGTTCTTTTCTCCATTTTTCTGACTTATGACATCGATAAACTCCCAGTTATGCTGATAATACAGTGGATGTATCCTGCCATCTACTCCGTACAGTTACGTCTACACTTGTCCTGCGAACTGTG